GATAAAGAAAGAGTGGAAAAGACACACATTTGCTTGGATCTTAAATGTTCTTCCTTTAACAAATTCAGGTCTTTCAAAGTTCTATTTAAAAACCCTCCATCACTTAGTTTCATTATTACTGATATGTCCTATTTCAACATTCGCAATCGTTAATCGTAATAAGAGCGAGTTCCCCCTACATCGATGGTAAGTGGAGGTACAAGCCGAACGACAATAACTAAAGCTTTAACTAACTGGGCCTACATGGTAGCAAAATCCGGAAGTTCATCAAGTCGGCACTTATCGCGATCCATTCACTGCAAATCCTCAAAACTTAACATCCATCTCAATGTTGTTCTCCAGTCCCTCCTCGGACTTCCAACTTTCGTTTCTTGTCTGGTCTACCAGAGCCACATGCCCAGCCTACCAAAGCCTTCTAAGTTTCAGTTCTCCGACAGCACGACGTGGTCTGTAAAACCACAGAAAAGGATTCCGTCAAAATGAACCAGTAACAACCTTCAACATTTTTCGAGGCAAAAAAACAAATTTGTTCCCTTATAAGGGACTGGCAAAGTCGATTAATTTTACACGTACGGGAACAGCACAACATTAACGTACCGAACCAAACTGCTGGAAAGTGTCCGTAATTATAACGTGGTCGGTCACTACGAGGCCAGGTCAGCCTGTCTGTACCATTAGTACGAGAGTCACGCGCAACAAACGGGCCACCACATGATGCCGTATATGGGAAAGCAAACTCCAATACGAACATGTTCACATCCTTAGGCCATCCATCAATTTAGTGCCCAATTAAATGACATTTCATAAGTTATCGTTCATTTGTAACGAAGTGTCTGATCTCTATCTATGCTTCTGAAAGCACTTACTTAGTGGCATCTGTTGTTGACGTTACGTCACAAGCCTATGATATTCAAATTCACATGCGTTTTTTTCAAATAGTGCACGAATTAAATCTCACTGATAGCTTCTTTTCCACAATCAAGTCTCAAAGTAATATTCTTGTAAAACTCGAAGCCGGCGACAAACAGGAGGCGCGATTCATATTATTAGCGCTACATAACATGGCCAATGTAAACAAATGCGATGAAAACTGTTTTCTCAATGAATTCAACAAAATATCTGGAACATTTTTAATTCTACGAATTCAAAACGATGTTATAAAATCAATTTTGACAGTTTTCAGTATTATATCTGGGCCAAACGAAAACTGTCAATGTCGAAACTTGAAATTGCATGTAAAGTAGTATTTAATATTATCTATTACATTATATATCACATTATCTACGGTAGTAGACAATGGGTCAAATTAACATAATGGGAAAATAAACGTGTCGATAAACACAAAATCAATTCGTAATGCAGCTGTGTCCATCACCCTCTTCATAATGCAGTTGAGATGATACACAGCCAAAGGATCAAATTAGCTAATAAGTAAAGATGCTGATTGGGAATGAAATATTTTTACTCTCTCCATAAATCGTGTGATTGTAACACCTATTACGATGTAAGTAAGTCTCATAAATTCTTAAAAAAGCAAGCGCGTAACGCGACTCCAGACCCAGCTTAGAACCGATACTGGAAGAAAATTAAGTTCATCGTCCAATAATATGAAGTTGTGTTACTTTCTTGTCAAAGGTTATGCATAACGCCCAGGCGTCCGGAGCCACCAATAAATGGATCCCATCACGTTTCATGCACATTCCCCGACAAAAACGGTTCTCTGAACACACGCTTCACATAAACGCGTGTGAAGACGCATTTCAAAGCCGACAGGATCTCACTTACCTCGGGGCTGTCGAAACGATAGTGCGGGGAAGCAAACGAGATGCAACGTATAGTCTAATGGGGCAGAGGTCCCTGCTCCCTCTCCCAGAAGTTCATATCACCTCTGACCCACGAGTTATTATCAGACTGAGGTGCCGGTATTGTTATTGGACGTAAGGTGGCAACGCCTGCATGGCATATAAAGAGAATGTCCTCCTGTCAAGCTTTCTCTTCTGAAAATCTTTCTTCCTGCATGTGTCAGGTTATAATCTGAACCAATCTCGTGTTTTCTTCAGTTCAGCACGAATTTTCCTAAACGACGACACGGATGTGAATGGAAGAAACAGGAATGTCTCAAACCAACAATTCTTATTACAACGTCGAGAGCGAGTGGGTAGCACTCATGATTTGTATTCAGGAGGCCCCACGTTCAAATCTCGGCACGGAGAAAGGCTATTATGATTTTCCTCAGTCTCTAATGGCAATGCCGGGATAGTACCTCACATTAGGACACGACCATTTCTTTTCATATCCCTTCCAATTCATTTATAATCGAATCAGTGGACGCTGTACAGGCCCTAGTCTGCGTCCTTAACAGCTTTAAGTAAGCACAACTAAATAAAAGAATTCTCAGTTCATCACCACCTAAGAAGAATTCACAATATGAGTGTTGAATTTAATTATGCACATGGTAGTAATTTTAGTTGGCCTAAAACTTGTACCGAGGAAACGCAAAAGATAAGACAGGCACTTGCCAGAAGATAAGAAATGAGAGTAGTACAAGGAGTCTAAAAGACATACTTATATTACTGTTTATTTAACGATACTTCACATACTACGACTGGTGTCAAAACAGAACTTTATGTTTGTAAAGATGGTTAAAAATGGCGAAGGAGGGCAAGAAGCAGTTCTGTCAGATTACAACAGAGATCACCATGAAGCGAATATACATATTAATCGAAATATGACACACAACTGTTCTGCTTTATAAAGTGCTTGAAAAAAACAAACGAGGAATCAGGATGGTGTTTTGTATTTCACGATAATAAAACTCCGAATTCTTATACATCGCTATAATATATGTAGTATTTTTTAATTATAAGAAACAGAAAGATAACGTAAGAAGGAAAAATGTCATCTCATGGTAATCAACAAGGGCCCGCCGAAACTCCTATTAAAACAACATAAGTCCATTGCACGCAAATAATATTTAAAACAAGACAATCTGCACGATATCAAATTCATCAAAGCGAATGTTAACAGAATGGCATTCCATCACGGAGATAAACTACGCCCTGAATAGAAGGTTATCGAGTGTTTATACAAACACTCTGTTCAGATAAAATGTATTAACCATGTCAACATACAAAAATCGAGTGTTGTTCTTATTTTCAAGTATTTGGCACGCCTTATTGCGCATAAAATAGAGGATTACGGTGTAATATATGACTGAATTGGTATTTACCAGCGGGAAGATTGCATAGGAAGCAGTAATGCCTTTTGTAACTTCAAGAACATTAACGTAAGAGTGCTAGAAGCAGTATCTTGGATTATGAAGATTAAGTCTCATCTGAAAAGTGTCGGTTCTCGATAGCTACCTTTAACACACAGCTCCGCAGTGCCCTGATTTTTAGATACCACGTGAAACACAATAAGTGTAACCAGACGTGCTTACAGCAAATTGCGTATTCGAAAGAGAGCGTCCATATTCGTGTTAAGGCACCTGTTTTCAAGACCAAGACTCGTTATCAACGATCCATGCCACGCAGGGGCTTCGTTGGGTTCTATTTTGGGTATTATTCTTTTATGTTAATAGAATATCGCCTAATTTCCAAAATTTCCGTAAGCAACACAATTGCCTTTCCACAATGAAGGATCCAGAATGTAGGTTTTAATATAAACTTACATTCACGAAGGTTTTTCTGAAATTTGTGACTACTAAGTATCTAGTAAGTTACAGGCTAGTTCAACCTATTTGAAACACGAGAACAATCTAAAACACAGAACGTAATGTGCGACAAAACACCGAAATTGTGTAGAAAAAATAATTACCATTACTATTTTTCCCCGTTTAAGCAATCAACAACGCACACTTGTATCACTGCGACATGTAAATTTGCTTGTCCTAGCATCACTCGTTTTTTCCCGAACACTTGACACACAGACCTACTGCACGCACTTCCATTTGCCACTAGACTTCGACACTCAACTCGCTTCTTGAGCCTGCGAGAAGCCAACTGGTCCAGCACACACAACGTCTCGAGTCGAGGTCGTAACCACAGAAACAAACAATGGGTCGCGTACCTCCTCCGGCATAAGTTGAATCCCGCTCAAAGTTTCTCTATGTCGGCTATACAACTTGCACACTAGACCGGCCTGTCGGTCAAGCAGACTGCCTTTTTCCCCCCACAACTAAAGTGGTTTCTGTTACGTCATTTAGAACGCTCTTCTCTGACTTACAAGACACGAACGACCTTGACAGCGTAAGAAGTGGCATAAGGAAGGAAAATGAGTCAGCAAGGAAACAAAGCTGAGTGGTGCCTGACACTTTCTCTTCGCCTGCCAACTTTTGTCTACTTCTCAGGGTCCTACCCCGCAAGAAAGCCATATACTCCTACGATAAAATAACACTGGAAAGATGTAGGCCTACTCTTCCAAATACAATGACATTCAATAGCATTCTTCATACCACAGCACGTAGCTCACTGTTGCATTAATGTCATTCAACAATGTGTTCTTACAATAGGATCACGGTTCCCGATGATGCGCAACAATGACTTATATCGTCTGAGGGGGCTGGGCTTAGATGGGAATATAATATTAAAATGTATCTTAAGGTGTGATGATGTGAACATGATTTATCTGGCTTCGGATGGATACACTTAGAGGACTTTTGTGACCACGGTCATGAGCCTTCGGTTTCTGTAAAGCGTATAGAATTATCTTGACTGCCTATAATATTATTGGGTTTATGAAACTGATTTTACCTGTTACTTCGCTCGTGTCCTTGTTCTGAGAGAACATAGATTTTAAGTATTTGAAAGCAAATTAATGAGGAGTGTGTTTCAACTTTAGAAAGGCTGGCGTCATTTTTTTTATATATTTGTCAGTGGCATTAGAAAATATATATATTCTTTTTATAGTTTAGATGAGTCATGTTTGTGTTAAAATTCAGTATATATTTATTTATTATTTCAGTCTATACACAAACTTAGTTTTTAAAATGTTGTATACAACCTGTATCAGCGCACTTACCCAGTCATGGACAGTCATTCATCTGATCACAGACGCAGACACACCACACATCACAACTCTTGGTATGTTTATTATATTCCTATAATTTTACAAATATATAATTTCTACGACAATCTCCAAACTCATTTTCATATTAATATTAATAATTCAAATGTTAATTAATTGTTTCACAGAATAATGAACAACTGACCTAAATATGCAAAATACTATGAAGATCAAAAGGAACACCTACAAAAGAAATCTACAAAACAAACAAATAAATCAATAAAAGCTTGCATTAATAGATATATATTAGTTTTAAAGATGAAAATAACAACAAAAAACCTGAAGATGATGCAATAGCATCGAAACATGTCGTAAAATAATAAAGCGCTGAAATTGTAACATCGAAATAACGATGAAAAGTGCTAAATTTTAATTTTAACAACAACATTTTAAAAACTAAGTTTGTGTATAGACTGAAATAATAAATAAATATATACTGAATGACTAGTCTATTACTGAGGCCAGTGGCCATTTACACTAGGACACGAGCTACATACCACAACCTTTTATCACAGATTGCAGCCAAAAATACCATCTGTGAAGAATGCAACTACAATGATTCAACAAGCACCTGTATATGCAAAGGCTCTAAAAGCAAACTCCAATGCTTAGGAAACCCAAAAGTTCATCACCAAATTAACCAAAGCCCTACACCGGTCCCTGTCCTGCGCCAGCAAAATCCAATCAAGGCCCTAATATTGAAGTTAAAAGTTTAAACATTACAGTCCAAAATAAAACCGCACGGTGGACAATTGCATAAATATATAACACATCCACCGGAATTTTATGTTTGCATGTAGCAAGTGCATCACTTTTCAGAGATACTACACTCGGATCTAGCGTCGCACAAAATTTGGAGGGTGGATGGGTCCAGGCACATGCACGAAACTTGCAGTAAGCCGAACTACGTCCATTTCCGATAACAAGCCTGCTCATTGTGGTGTGGAGTGCCACAGTTACGTTTATTTTGCTGTATATATGTTGCACCACGTGGTTGGTAAGAACACTACTGTGTTCCGTTCTACCTGGTGCAGTAGTGACTACATGTGGTGTAGTCTTTCGTGGAATTATATGTTGCTCTGTTATATTAATGTTGGGTACTTGTGGGTTATCGGGACACATCGCTTTAAAAATAGGTTAGGATAGGTGGTTGTTCTGCAAGATTGTTTACTGCACTTCCATTTCACTCCATCACTGAAATATAGTTTCATAACAACCTAACCTAACCTATTTTTAAAGCGATGTGTCCCAATAACCCACAAGCACCTAATGTTGGGTTCAGTTTGGCATCTCCATTATGTTATGATGATATTTCAACTTTCAACCTCAGATCTGAAATGATTACCTGTCCAAGTGCGTGCTTGTGTGAACGGTGAGGCACCACTGTGTGGTGAATGCACTAACCAGTACAATTCGAATGCTTGTCCGACATACAAAACGATGACCAGGGACCATTCGGCCACACACGGACAAATACAATTACGGGAATGATGAAGCCAACTGCACGCCCACATCACTTTCAGCACGAAACTTCAAAAATTTCAAGTGCTTGATTTTTGTCGCACTCATTGTACAAATGTGTTTTGAATATTTTTATACTTTTAATTAAGGGGGTGGGGTGCGCAGTGGCGGCGCGGTCTGAGGCGTGGGTCTTGTGCCGCTTGGTCGCTGGGACCGTGGGTTTGAATCCCACTCAAGCCATGGACGTTTTTCTGTGTTGTGCTGTCCTGTAAATAGGTAGAGGCCTTGCGACGGGCCAATCCCTCGTGTAAAGAGTCCTACCGAATGTCCATATATCAAGCCAACTAAAAAGTTGGGGACCCGTAAAAGGGTACCGGAAAATGTATAAACATTGTTAAACCGGAAAAAGAAGATTAAGGGGGTGGGGATGCATGTTGAATGAAACCTAAACTCACTAATTCAACGCTACACTGGTACATAAATACAGCCTTTCACTTCCCAACAAAATTCTGTTGTCTGTTCTTTAGATTTCTGTTGCTTCTGGCAAGTAAACGATTTGACAGGATTGATAACGAAATTCTAGATTAACGCATTCACCACGTTTCAAGTGGTAGCAGGACAAGATAAAAATAATCATCTTCAACTTACCTATTACTGCTGGCTGCTCTTTGCTGCTTTGCCAGTGCCGCCTGTCTTCTACGAGCTACCGCCTCATTTCTGATGATACGTCGAACCTCACGTCCACCTGAAGACGATGTTTCGCCATCTGATGTCGGTGGCGTCGGTGATGCAGACAACCGCTGCAGTTCCTCTATTTGGCGATGCAACTGTCTCTCGTACTGAGCCGCCTCCTCCTCTTCCGCAGTAAGCTGAGTTTTCTTCAGTTGCAAACGCTCCTCAACACTATTCCTGCCATCGGCAAACTCATCCACAAGTATCTTTGACTCTAACTTCTTCTGGCTGACGAGAGATTTGTGATCGATAATGTGGGATTCTACAACTTTTGATGTGCTGAACGTTTCATTCTTCCTACCCATCTGAACATGTTGTGCCTGAAACCCCTTCCTACTTAATTCTTCCACCAGGAGTTTGGACTCCAACTTCCTCTGGTTGATAAGTGATTTGTGGTCCAAGGGAAGATCTGCCTGCTTCTTAGCGTCACATTGTTCATCACCCAATTTTATATCTTTTCTCAAAGGGCTATAATTATCACCCAGTTTTCTCTTTTCTGGATAAGTAGTCTCCTTTCTTCCCTGGTGATTCTCCTTTTCATTTTTTAGATTTCTACGATTCATAACCTTCTCATCATTACTACTGGGACGTGAAGGCTTGTTGTTTGGAGACGATATCAGGGCCTGGCGCTGCTTTCGCGCGTTAGCTTCAACTCCATGGAGAATACTCACGAGGTCAAGCGTGCTCCTGGGAGGAGCCGAGTGAGGACGGGCTCGTGTATCGCTTTCAGATGATGAATCTGAGTTACTGGAGGAAGAAAATTCTTCCCATTCTGTTGATTCAGGCTTGAGAATTGAACGGAGATGATCATTAGCGGCCGAGACCACAAGATCATCGGAAGCCCGGTTTTCACACACACCACTTGCCGTTTCCTTCTTGAGAACGCTCTTTAAGTGACGAAAGCTTTCCAATTCAGGTGTTCCTGCTGCTGAAGCAATTGGTGTACCACTAGCCTTTAGAATCCCTCTTACTTCGCTTTCTGATTCAGTCTCCACGTCTGATGAAGCGGAAACTTCGGTCTGAGATGGCGATCTGGTGTGGGACTCGCAGCTTCTGTAGTTCTTCAATATGCCTACCACAAAAGATAAGTGTTAAAGCACTCGCCACGGTCATGGAGAATTTTTTGAATTTCAAGGAATTTGATAATATCACTTGTAGTAACAGTTTGTTACCAAACACATTCATCTGTTATCTGCAATATAACAAAATATT